TAGTGTGTTGGGGATTAATCGGTTAAATTTTTATCTGACTGAGATAATCGGTAAATCAATAGTCAAAATTAATCAATCATTATACGTGTGCATATATATTACATACATATTATAATATGTACATATTTTTATATAATTGATATATATTGATATAAATATATTTATATTGTGGACCAGTCGCGCGCTACGAAATTTTTACAATTTTTTCAAACCTATCATTTCCCAAAGTAAAATGTATCATAATTATTATTTACTTGCCCTCTATTAATTAGTACAGAAATATTGATAAACACAGAATAAAATACAAACTCTTTTGAGATAAAAAAATTAAAATTTCAAATATCAGTTTGTATATGCTCTCCTTGCAACATTCACGGTTAAATAAAAAATCGAAACGATTCTCTCCGGGGATACCCAAAGTGGATTGTAAAATAATTTATCACAATATCATTGATTTCTTTCGTCACTATTTCAGCGTATTCTACTTTAAGAATAATCAAAAGATTTCATTTCTAAACCACGAGAAACAGAAATAGCGAAGATTTTAAAGGAGTGATTTAAAATAACTTCATTATTGCAGTGTTGTAATTTTATCAATTTATATCTATAAAGGCTTAATCTCTATGTTCCATTACAACTGTGTGGTCGCTTCAATTTATAAAATTACTAATTATTATTGTAATTATCGCAAGATTGTTTTGCGCATAAGCGCATCTACTTCAAACGTATACATACACATTGGAGGTAATTAATTAAACTAAAAGGATTACCTTAATTATCTGATTACACGCTTTCCTAACACGATAATTATTCGTAGCAATTACTGCTGATAATGATCTGTGAGATTAAGAGTCAGGTCGTCCACTTTAGTTTTTTCCTCCTCTTTTAAAGAGCCTCTGAAATTCCTTTGAATATTCCTTTGAATCGCGTGAGAGTAGTCGAGGGTATAAGAAACAAAGGCGCTATGGCGACAGGGGGTTAAACAAAGACGATTTATCTCACGCGGGGTAAGGCGGAAAGGTGTAAGCTCAGATTAATAGAGGTCGATTTCAGTATCGGGGATGGCGATCGTGGTAATTAATATCACCATTTGTTCCACGTCATGTGCACGCCGTTGCGCACGTAGGCACGCACGTACGCACGCACGCACGCACGCATACACGTATGTATGCACTCACGTGGTGGAGCAGGCAAGTGTGCGCTTCGACGATTCGCGACGGGCCGAACCGAAAGGCGGAACACACATATTCTGACTTTCGTAAGATATTAATTAGCTTTCCGCGGTTTATCGCGCCGTACAAGACCTCCCGGCACATTTCGCACGCTGCCACGCAATTTCGATCGAACGCGTGTGATTGCTCGTCCGGCGGGTCGTTGGGATTTAATTGTTGCGTCCGAGAATTCGTACGGCTCATTGACACGCGCGCCGTTCGAAATACGCTTTGGCGTTTAATAATTTGCCCTCTCGTTCCAGTGAGTTTGAAAGGAGAAGTTGGCGGATAAAACGTATGAATGAATTCAGCAGTGAATGCGCAGCGTCGCGTCTCTCTTTGCGCACGCTTAGGACGGAGAGGCTTAGTCGCACTTGAATAATTTAACGACGCGACAATTTTAAGTCCGCGAAAGAAGCCCGGACCGAAAGAGAATTCGTTACTTTACTGCGATTAATAGATCGGTCTTACGGGCGGACGCTCTTCGTATTACTCTCGTTACTTCATTAAGAAAAAAAAGAATTTTGGTTGCTACTTCCTACAATCCCATATTCTCAGCGAAGATTTTTGCTGAAGGAATATTCCTCTCCTAATGAGGTGAATTGTTCATTGGAGATCTATTAAATATTATTTTAACTTTCTCTTTCTGAATTAAGAGAAAAAAATGTTTACTTAGAGTCCCTTGAATCACAAATCAGCTATAAACTAACGCGTTTTAATTGATCCGCTATTTTTTGTAAATTCCCGCTCACATTTAAATCATAATAATTTTACGAACTTTATGTTTTAACATTATAATCTCCGAAGAACCAATTTATATTAACCATGAGAAATTTTGTGCTGATTTTTCTTATTATTAAAATATTTGGATTATTTTAGCAGAGAAAGCAAGTATTACTTCCCGAATATACTTGTAACATTTAATAATTAAATGGAAAACATCGCCGACGAGTTCAGTATATCCTGAGAATATTCGAGAAACGTGCTACAAGGAATATTATGCGGATATTATACTAGTATGTTATATATATTTATAATACACTCAGTATTATAATCCATATGGGATACATTCGAATGATATCACGTGCTATATGGAACGTTAACATTTGAAACACGTTTTGATATTTTATAAATATTCTTTGAATATTTGGCAAGCGATATTGTTAATATTTTGAAAACATTTATAAAGCATTGTGGAGACGTTACAAAAATACACGTAATATCAATATTTCAAAAAAACGGTACAATGTTTCTTGCGCACTAGATAAAATCCCCTATGATTCAAAGAATTTTGGAGGAATATTCTTTTGGATAAATTATGCTGGAAGTTATCGATAAAATACTTAGTTTGTCAATTGCTTGATAAAGTGTGCTAATTTGAAATTACATGATTTATGCAAGGTTAGTAGAAGGATGAGTAGAAAGTTCTTTTACGCTCAGTATTTAGATATTAAGTATTAAATTATTAGGAAAATGATAAGACCTTTTTATTCAGTTTGACCTAATGTACAACCACATAATGGCAGACATTGGCAGTACAGCTCATTTACTATATCTTGCGCGATCATTCATAAATCTTCTTTAATTAATATTTCAATAGTTATTGCGAATATTGCAAAACAGCATGGGACTTTTGTCTTCACCTCGACCCGCTCTATGTTCTCACGAGAACTTTGTAGATTATTCTGAGACACTCTATATATAAAATCTCAAAAGTATGATTGACAGGAAAAATCGAGCTTTCCGTCGCATCTCTTGTGATAATCTGATAACTTGCTGGTATATTGCTGTTCTTCAAAATCGAGGTCTCTCGACGTCTCTCGACGTGTCTTCTAATAGGCATGTCGAAACACGAAGCAATGCAGTTGGTAAACGCTAATCGCCCGTTAGTATCATATACGATTGATACGATCTGACTTCATTTTGATGCTCCTCCGATTTTCCATTGCATCGTATTACTTTTAGCAAATAAATTCAAAAATATGACGCTTTATCGACGTAAACTGACATTTATAGGCGTGCGTGTAAAAAAATATTTCCTCTGTTATAAAAGTATTCTTTTTATTGAACATAAACAATAATATTGTTACACAAAATTTCATATTTTTTTGTTTTAAGACTGCAAATATTTGCGACGGTTACAATTGTTCAAAGGGAGTTACATTAAAATGTAACAAAGTTATGCAACAGATGCTTATAAAACTGTTGGCTACTGCTGCTGCTAAAGCTCCGCCATTAATTAATCGTTGTTTAACGCAATGGTCAAAGTGTGTCATTAATTTTGAGGGTATACTGAGGGTATACTGTCTTACAATGGTAACGTATTGATTACATATTAACGATACATTAATCTCGTACGCATGAATAATATGATGAAAATTCGAAAACGTTTTATAACATTAAAGTTCATCGCTCATTGGTGCGAACTGATAAATCTATTAAATTTATCGAGTGCGTGTTGGATTCTGATGAAACAATGCTGCATTTACGCCAGTAATGCAGTCCGTGCGAAATTCGCACAATTACGCGCACCAAATAATGATTTTCCGTTGTTTATTTCATGAAATACTATAAGTAACTGGCACCATTGTTCAGCCACAACAAAAGTTAATTATTCGGCAGCGTGCTTAATGCATGTAATGAATCGTAATCACTTTGGACAACACGGACGATAAACATTTAGCATTATATAAAATCGACGAGAATTATATATGAAACTCCAATATATAATATTCATAAATTCGATTCCTACAATATCAACGTGAAATATTAATGAGCATCATCATGACATATTAATGACTATTGTAGTATCCTATTGATACGATCTCAGTAATATCTATGATCTCAGACATCAATACATATATACACACACACACACACACACATACACACATACATATATATAGTATACGTATCAGTGTGGAAATGAGCTTTTAGAGTCGTTCTATATTAGTTGCAAGGTCGCAAGAAAATTGACCAATCACAGTCAATTCTTCTTTGATCGTAAGAAGAACGATCGATTATTATTGGTAAATTTTCTTACGATTTTGCGATTTACAACTAATGAACGAACTAGAACGGCCTTAAAGATCGCAATAATAGAGCCTTACAGAGAATAATAGATTTACAGAGAGGCTGTATTGAGGATCGACATAACGACATAACGAAAGCCATATATAGTGTAGGGGATTTTAAAGTTAACCTCAATAATCATCCTAAATAGAAATACTCACACCTCACGAAAATCTTTATTTTGTATATACGAGTATAGTGTATGTAAAGTTAATGATTGCCGTAAGTAAAAATACTCACTTCATGATTAACTTGAATTAGCTTGATGTTATAACTTTGCATATAAAACAATACTTTATTAACCGTAGAATCCTAAACATAAATAAAATTTATCCAGACTTTTTACACATTCGTTCTTAAAAACACGTATTTTATTCTTTCATTAAAACCTTTTTTTTCAAATTTATTGAATCGCAAAAACATAGTAGATTTATATTTCTCGATGTTTCCTACATTGATTAAAGAAAAAAGCAATTAATTTTTATAATAGTTAAAATATAATATGTTTAGGGGGTTAAGGTTTGATGTTTAGGGTTCTAAGATTAAATTATATCTATCTAAAGATATCTAACAAAAATATTATTTATTGGAATTTCATATTTGTATTAGTCGCTGGGGAAACAATATGGCGCTTGTGATTTGGGTAGTCAATGAAACTTTTCAATGTCGCTTCTCTGTAAATCTAGGGGTCTATCGCAATAACTCGTTCTCTTTTTCCTTCCTTGGCTATTTTCCTGACAGATGTTTTGTCTATTCTATAGTAACGTGATTAATTCATAAAATAGGTATGCACCACGGGACGCGTGTCCAACAGCAATTCCGTTCGTTCTATTTCTTTGTTTTCCGTGTCTCGTTATTTGTTTCCGCGAAATGGGCGACATGCACATGAAACTGTGCCGCGTAGATTTATTCGGAACGTCGGGATTATTCCGTAAAAGATGTTACAAAAGTTCAATTTGAGTTTAAATTTCTCTGGTGCTGTTCTGAAGATTTATGCAGAATAGCAACCAAATCCGTGAAATTATGTTTATTATTGATGTATTTAAATAGCCCTTGGTACTGTGAATGTGTTCTTCAACATATGTCATGCATATTACATTAAAAAATAATTAATTAAATATTTGTATAATTTATAAGTGCAACTGAATTCTTTACAAACTTGTGGACATAAAATATCGAGTGCGCAACTCGGAAATTAAATTTCTAATAGAATTCAGCGCACTTCATTCCAGAATTTCAGGAAACGAAAATTCTTATATGTCGTCAAACATGTTGTCAAACATAAGAAACGCATCGCAAACCTTCAACACTACGATATTCAAGATCATCACATAAAAGTTATAAACATGTGAGAAGGCGCAACGAATTCATCGAAGATATTAGAATTCTGCATGTTTTTTAATGTGACCCATAATCGAAGTAATCCATGTTAATCTAAATCAACGAGGTCAAACATTATGTAATCTCTCACTCTGCATCGTAAAAGAAATTATCTGCTATCTGCGTACAGCGGAGCAGAAAGTAAAAGTTAACTAAGTTGTTCAGAGGGGATTAAGTTATCTGGTATTTTTGATGTTAATAATGTCAAAACTTTTTGATTATTAATTATAACTTAGTTTCATTTTTTTTAACGAGATCCACTTCTTGGGTTATCCCAAGATTACTCTTGGATTATCTCTGATTATTCAGAGATCACTGATATTTTTTAGTATCTAGCGATCTCTCAAAGAGTTTCGCTTTGCAGAAAGAGACATTTAGGTATCAATAAGAGAAATTAAACTTTGTTCAGATTTCTGAAGAAATATCGAGTCGACATAGTTCATTTTATTCGTAAGAATAAATTGAAGGTACTTGAGGAAATTGAGAGGTACTTGATATATAGACAGTAACGTTTACATTATTTTCGTTAACATCATTTCTATTAACACGTCAATAAGTACCTATCCATGAGATATATCTATGCGTATTAAAATACAATGCATTAATACGATATCCAAAAACTATTGCTGGTAAATAACACATACAGTTGTAGTGCAATAAAATATTAACAATATTTTTTTAATTGACTTTTAATGGTTCAGACTCAAAGACATACGAACTTTAACCTTTTCGTCTTAATCTTTTTGCTGCAAGGAGTGATTGTAATATTTACTATTTGTTGGTTTTATTCATGCGATTTTCGTCTGTACAGTCGTTTTTATTAAAAACAAATACACCATAAAGAATGCATATTTACCTGCGCATTTAATATTGTAGCGAAAAGTTTAAATTTTATAAATATTAAAAGAGATCGTACCAAATGCAATATAATAAATAAGATTTTTAACGAACTTACAATGTATAACACTTAATTGTATCCTTAATTTATCCTTATTAATTTGTACAGGTAATTAATTTGTACTGGTAATTATCGTTTTGCGTAAAGTTATCAATTTTTAATATAAAAGTTTCGTTGTTCTCGTTGGATCACGATCCAAATAAGTGTCGAGTAAAACGTACATTATAAAATTATCACCTAAAATTCAGGTGAATATTTTTTAAACTACTGTCTTTTTCATATTTCTCTATACATAAACGAATTCCTTGAAGTCTGGCGTTTTGATGAGAAAATAATTTTTTTGAAATCGGTTGACTTTCGTAGAAGTTATAACGAAATATATGACGTGGGGTAGCCATTATCTCAGTATGGCAGACCCGTGATTTCTGAAAGTATAGTATCCTAATACATAATTCTAATACATTGTTCCCATTTTGGAAAAATAATCCACGATACTTTCTACTCGAAAATGCTATCTTACACATATTTTGCTGTCACTTTTAATTATCTTATTTAACTAAATTATCATTATTCCCTTAAAATACTTGTTTCCAATGAGCACATAGGATATTCTAATATTCTAATAAAATTAATTTGAACATATACACAGAATATATTTTTCTTAACTTACTATTGTTTTATCAAGATACTCTTCTGCTTATACTGTTTTCTTCTTTTTCTTCTTTATATCACGGATGACATCATAAATCCAATAAACCCATCTCATCAAAAAGTGGTAACCGTTTCGTCATTATCTTTCGGAAAAGTTTACCTTGTAAACCGGGATTCTCGTAAGTACCATCTTCCAACATGATCTCATCAATATCTTTCACTTTGTCTTTGTCACATATCACTATCGGCAATACTGTAAAGGAAGCTAACATTCCGTAAGCAGCCTTCTCCTTCAAAGAATCTTTCAGTTTCTGCATGGTGGGCGGTTGCGTTTTGCAGCCGAGCTGCTTCATAGTGCTCGTCAGTGTGTTAAGGTACTCGGCCAACATGACATCTTTGTTATTTTCGATGGTCTCCATGGTGGGACTCGTGCTGAGGAAGTAGAGGAGATCGATCGCTGGCGATGTGTAGCAACACAATTGAAAGTCCACCTGCAATATCAAACGTAGTCACGATCGAACGATCTCATGAGCGCTCGGCAATTGAATTGGAAATGAAATCCGTGTACGGGAAAAAGAAGTGGGACTCGTGTTTAGGAAGTCGCGACGGTCGAGAGTTTGCGACAGTTTGCATGGCAGACAGATGGCGGATGTATCTGAATTCGAGCAAATTAAATTTACCGCATTATTTATAACGCACTATACATATTTTGAGGTTGTCATATATTATTGTTGGCCCTTTATCTCATTGTCGGTGTCGCGGCTTTACGTTCGCGCGCAATTGAAGTTGATATTAGTCGCGATAATGTCTTGACAAAAATTTCATTATTTTACAATTTTAAGGCTTTTAACGTTAGACGTGAGAAATGACATACTGAAAATTCTTGTGTGCCATTTTTCTTATGAAAAAGTATTTGAATGAAAAAACACTTGAAATCGCTTGAACATGCTTGCAAAATACCTCGAGAACTTTTATCTTGACAATTGATAAATAGCCATGAAATTAATATGACAAAACGATGAAAAAAAGCAGTTTAAAGAGAAAGTTTGCATGTCACGTCAATTTTATTGCTATCTATTGACTGTCAAGTGAAAAGAATAATTTTTTTAAACATTTTACAAGTGTGTGTGTGTATGTTCAAGAAGTATTTTTTTCTTATATGTAATATCTTTTTATTTGAAAATAACACGCAAGAATTCTAAGCATGCGTTTAAGTTAACTAAAAATCTTGATAATTTAGAATGAATAAGTTTAATTACCATTTCTGAATCGTTCATATTTTCATTAGAAATTGGTGAAAATCCAATCGCACACTTTTTCTGTGTATAACAAATTACCTTTGTATGTCGTATATCGCGCCTATGTGACTTACAACTTTTTTAATTATAACAAGATACATCTTCGCGTACAGAGAACAGAAATACAGGATTTCAGCGTCATAAAATGTATCTTCATTATGTGTTGGCAGATGAGAGTTGGTCGATTACTTTGTGCAAACTTAAATTTACAGTTGTCTGAGCAATTGTGATAGATCAATAAACGCTTAAGATAAGCATCTTATTTTAGATGTCTTATCTTTTATAGTATACTTACAAAAATATGTTCAACTGGTTTCCCGTTAGCGTATTTAAACAACATATTGTTCACCCAAAAGTCTCCGTGGGTAATCACATTAAAATCATCATCACGCGGCCTGGATACTTTCATTCCTATTTCGAAACATCTGGTACTGAGTTGAGTAATTTTCTTCGTGTATCTAATAACATAAATGATACGAAATTAATTAACTATATGTACCTAAGTAGGAATCGTATACGTTTCGCCAGTACGGAAAAATGGTCTGATACTGGATCGATACCGAAAAGCGAATGTTTTGGTACTGGCTCAATACTGGGCCTAATATAAAAAAACTGTATCATTGGTACTGGCTTCGTACTAAGGTTAGGTACTGGATAGTTGTACCGTACGTGTACTGGGGCATTACCGAAAAGTGTTTGTCATTTTCGGTACTGGCCCAGTATTAAAAAAGCTGTATTATTCGTACTGGCCCTGTTCGTAGAATCAGTACTGGGTACTCAAATAAGAATCGTATATAATCTGCCAATAGAGGATATTGGGCCAGTGTTGTGCCGGTATCGGAAAACGGACGATATCAATGTCCTTTATGGGAAAACGGAAGAGATCACTAACGCGAAACCTAGATAGCTCAGTGATGAGAACGCTTGCCTGACAAGCGGAAGACTCTAGTTCGATTCCAGCCGTCGCCCCGAAGATTTTTTCCTCATATGACTATTAAAATAGACATGTATATGTACAAACGAGAGAGAGCAAGCCGGGGCCTGGTCATGGTCTGATCTTTCTTTCCGTACTATATAGTTGTGATGTTAACAATTGTACAAATAATAAAAATTGCTAGGAATCGATACTGGTCCAGTACTGGGAATAGGTACTTCTCCAGTGCTGGAATTCTATAACTCATTATTGGAGTTAACGACAGTTTCGTTATCGTTGTACAGTTTTTCTTCGATATACAAAGCTGCGCAACGACAATGAAACTATCGTTAATTCTAATAAGAGTTACAGAATTCCAGCACAGTGCTAGGAATTAATACTTTTTTTATACTGGTACAGTACTGATTTTCGGTACTGTGACAGTACTGTTTTCCGATTACTGGCCCTTTTTTATCATCCCTGTATTATACCAATATTAAATCCGTACTGACATCTGGTACTATGCCAGTAACGTTTACTATAAATCGGTACTGGGCCACTTTGATGCCAATAGTAAATTCATATTTGAATATATATTGTACACTGTAGCTTATATTTATATTTATAATTCTTTTCTCATTTTTAACATATATTTAACTTGTGTTTCGAATTCGAAACAAAAGGCAGTATCATCTTCCAGAGAATTCTTTGCGAAGAATCTTCTGGAAGAGTCTATACACGCAATTACTGTTGGTCTTATTTGGCCGTTAGAATATTGCGTTACTGTGACGACGTTTTTGCAATCTTTCAGTCTATTTCTTATTGTTTGAGACATTCGTTATGATCGAGTCTTTCCCAAACAAAGCTATACGAAGAGGATCCCAGCCTATTGATTCCGATGCTAAGGAGACAACAGTTTTTCCTTCTACCTAATGTATACTGGGATCTTTCTGTCAACAACTCCTATCCAAGTAATATTTTTTATGATTGTCGCGAAAGTTGAACCGTTAATTTGACTCGCGATCAATCAACGCGTGCCGTGTATTGCTAAAGAAAATTATAAGTGGAATCGTTCTTTAACCGTCGGACAGACTCAGTTTTGTCTCGCTCACCGTTGCTATGTTTTAACGGTAGCTTTCTTCGAGATTCACCTTTCCTTCGCGTGCGACGAGATCACCGTCATTAATTCACCGTCTCGGCAATCTCTCAATCTCTCTACGTAACCCCGCGGAAGCGAGAAGACCGCGAGGCGTCAACGCAACTCAAACCAGCCTATTCAGCGATTCACAGTAGCGAATTTTATTATCGAGCGAATTTAATTTGGTAACATCAATAAATCATTGTTACTGTTACGAACAATGGCTATTCTGTCGCTCGGCCAAATTTCCTGCTCGTCCTCCGCACTGAGAGAAAAAAATAATTGATCTAACTAAATTTATAGTTATTTTTGGCCTCAACCATATTTTTTGGTTGTTCTAACACGCTAATAGTAGTAGTAACATGGATATAAGATTATTATCACTAATATTATAGTAGAATTTAATAAAAAGTAGTTTTCTTGACTATAATTCATAATAATAATTTTTTTCTGCGATTATAGTTACGAATACCAAATATTTTTTTCTCAGTGCGTAACATCTGTCCGCGACTCGTTACGTGCGCTTAGGGCCTTCACACACAAATTGACATAACAGTAACGTAAAACGTACCGTAAGAATTGACCAATCATGTTGAGAATCGTCGAACCGTAAGATCGCCATTTTGATGAATACTCGATCGCAATTCTTACGGTACGTCTTACGTTACTGTTATGTCAATTTGTGTGTGAAGGCCCTTACGTACCCTGCGCTGGGTGGATAGATCGAGCGTTTTCTCAAGCCCAAAGCAGCTTGTTTTTTATTTCATACTTGCGCCATATTATCATGATATATGACATGAAATTTAACATTTAAACTTATATATAAAACTTTACAATTTGAAAAGAAAAATGGCCGTTTGTTGTGTTAAATTACATTTGCACGCAAAACTTACTTTTGGTCTAGTTCTGGCCATTTTGCTGTTTCTTTTGCCAAATTCTGAAGACCGAGATCGAAGAAATCAGTTAAGCTTGGCGGATGAGCTGGATCGAACATTCCTCCCGTATACAGCTTCTTTTGGCTTGGATCCTAAATATAAAAATATTTCCTTAAGTTCAAGTAAATTTGAGGTTCATCAATTTATGAGTAGTTTTTGGGTCTTGAATGATCACGCGTGAAGAACTTTTTGAAGGAAAGGTTACTTAAGCTGGTCTATATGCGTTATCCACAAGTTTACGGTCAGTATTGCTACAAATAGCATATTTTGCCGTTAGCGCTACACGATAAGAGTATTATATGAATTTTGACGTTAAATATTATTGCGTCAAAATTTTTGATGACGATTGACGGTTTCGAGAGCCGGAGTGGCCCCGAACGAACTTTATTAATAGCTTTATAAATGATAACGATAAGATGAGTATCTATACATGACGTGATGGATTTGTTAAGTATTTTTTTTTCTTTATTCGATTTTTTCTTTATTTTACATTGAAGTACGCGTTGCTGTAAAGGATAAAGACATTAAGCTTTGGTTATTCTCTGTTAGACATTGAAACTACACGGCTGGATCACCCATCGTGTAGTTTCAAACTCCCATTCGTCTACACAAAATCGCAGCGGTTTATGGTAACCATTATGCCACACACATTATTACCGTGTATATATGTATGCGTCGTTTCAAAGTTTAGGATCGCGACTTACGACGTTGTGTCTTGGATGGACTTAGTTTTATAGAGATTGTTAATGGTCGCAATAATTTTTCTTTATCTTGACACGTATCTGTTTGCGTTATTGCAAATTTATGACCCAATGTTGTTAATAATTTGCTCCACGTAAATCACGAATGTGATAGACAATTCACGTAACTTATGCGAAATGCATGTCAGATGTTATATCTTGTCCTATTGCATATATGTGCATGCGAAGTATATAAAAATGCATAGAAATACATCGAGACTCCAAGTGTACATGTCTCTTTTTTCAACGGAATAATAATCACAATATTTAAACAACAACAAAACTTTATTGCGTGCAATAATAAAGTTGCATGTGTGAATAAGATAGTGAATTAAGACATGTGATAAATTTTATATTCGAAAGATAAGGCGATAGTTAGATGATATATGATCCTAATACTCGAAATAAAAATATTAATATTAAAAGAATAAATTAAAACTAAACTTATTAATTAATGTTGCATATAAATGTGTAACCAGTGTCGCGATGAAAATTTTCTTTGATTAAAATAATCGGCAAATTAATAATAAAAATTAATTAATCATTGTATGTATAATATCGAGTGATTCAATCGACTGATGAAATTGATTATTAATCAGTATACAATCAATCTGATTAAAATTTGATTAATAATTTTATTGATCGATAGTATGATTTTATTACGATTTATGAAGATTAATTTTGATTGATTTGCTGATTATCTTAGTCGATTATTAAAGAATATTTTAATTGAATGTCCAACACTGTTTTAAATTAAAAACTAAAGAGAATCACACAATAATAAACTAATTTTTGATATTTTGATATTTGAGGTTTATGCAATGTGGGAAGATATTCGATTTTATCTAAATAGTTAACTTTTGATAATTGATTCAAGTTACGCGTGAAAATTCGTTATTTATTTTGAATAAAAATACATCTAAATTTTTCGATTTTTACTTCGGTTTTAATTTTAATAGAATTAAATATGTAAATCCTCAATAAAGATATAAATAACCAATGTTTGCACACTCACATTGGAAGTATTTATTCGCGAAGAATGATTTCGAATAACGTGAGTGAATAACAATATCGATATTTATGCAACATGATGCAACTGACTTTTATATCTCAATATAAATGACTCGTCAGTATAAGTGACAACGCAACAGTGCCACCGAGATAGGAGTATCGCCTTTTCTCGCACAGAAGGATACACACATGTATCACATTTGAATATAAAAATTTTAGTATTTACCTTTTCACACACGGCTACTGATGCTGCATGGAATTTACCCAATCCACGAAGCGCTAATATACAATGAGTCAAATCGAGGCCAGTTTCACGATCGGCCATGCGGAAACCGAGTGGTGCTAAATCCTCCAATACTAGAAGCGGTGGATCTTTCTGCTGAATGTATAAGCTCTTAGCGCTCAGATTGGATCCCAGCAACTGATTCATTTTATCCAAAGTATTTGACATCATCAACATTTCCGTACTGAAGAGGGACGAATTCAAGATCTGGAAATTATTTGAGATCGAAAAGGAATAGAGGATTTGTCATTGAATAAGATTTTCACTGAATGCATTTTTAAGGTTGTCTCTAAGGGAACTTTAGACGGATTGTGTGACTGGATGAACATCTCTTTTTGCGTGCATGCTCTCACTAAGCCAGTTGGCTTTCAACCGATTGTCACGTCACTTCGAAGAAATTGACCTCGTATCAGTTATGGAATTCGCCCTTACGATCTGATCCATCTTTTACGCGTTTACATGTACGTAATGGCGAGAGCGGAAGCGTGAGGAATGAGGGAAGTAACTCACATAAATCAAACGAACTTACGAGTTCCTTGCGCATCCCATCGTTGATCGGCGCGATCTTGACGATGATTGATTTCTTCTTCGTGTCTTTCCGGTTCTGGTCTTGGGTGTATTCAACCATGACCCTGATCATATCGCTGGTATAGTTGTCACCCTTATTCGTAGCCGGTTTCGTGGATATATCGATCACGTGGATCGAGTCTCCTTCCGAATGTCGCAGGGCCTTCTGCACGAAGCATACATCCAGCCATTCCGGTGTCTCTACAGGCATTTCTGAAATTGGAAATGGAATTGGAGAATTTCCCCGACAAATCATTGTTCTTCTCGCCGTGTCACGAAACGCGAAAACGATTCTTTACGATAACTTATTGTTCGCGGTGAGATTTATCACGTTTCCTTTCTTCCGAGCCAACTCTCTCCTGTCTTCCCCATTCCGGCCTTTCCACTCTCTTTCTCGCTATCCCGTCCGGCGTTTTTCGACCGTTTCGCCGTCCTTTCTTTCCTCTCGCGCCCCCGTCGATATTCAAGACGGACATTCCCGCGCGTTCGAGATCGCTGTTTCAATTAAGAGCGTAATGGGCCGCCGCTTTTCGCTTTACCCCGCTAGCCAATGGGCATACATACCCATCTTGTCGAGATCCCGTCGAACGTGATCGAGTTGCGGTATTTGCGAGAAATTTACGGCGCGCCCGGCGTGGCACGATCGCGTATGTACTTGTGGTCGAACGATGTTCGCTATATTTCACTCTGATGAGTTCTCTCGGAAATGTTTTCCGCACTTTCTTCAAGTTCAAGCGCGCGACGAAAAAGACGGAGAGCACTAGCGCGTGTGGATAACGGTTTGAATCTTAACCGCGACTGACTGGAGAGTGAGCGTGACAGCTTATGATATAGGTTGTGTAACTGTGTACAAGAGGCAGAATACAAACATCGTGGGTAAATGCCAAATGCTGACGAGCCTCGCATAGGAAATATTATTTAATGACGTAATTTCAGCCTGAATTTAAATGAGTTTTGCCGCTTACAGATGTGAGCTTTTTCTAATACGAGAGATTTATTCTCAATATAAATATATATGAATAACAATGTGATACAAGTAAATATATGCTAATTTCAAGATGACAATAAGGAATTAACATGGTCTTATTTCACTTGGCTGTGGTATACAAAATTTTGTTGCGTAGAACTTGATGGAACACAGTGTATAAGAAAGAAAAGTTGGTATTGAATTAGCAGAGCTAGAGGACAGAAAAGATGGAGTTGATGGAAGGGGGAATTAGAAAGGTAAATCGAAGGTCATATGTAGAAAAGGGCTATCGAAGTAAATAGCTCAACACAGAAGAAGCATAGTAAATCTCACTAAACACATAGCAGATTTTGTTAGAAACATAGCAAATATTTTAATAATATCTTTTAATTCCTAAAATATAAGTATAGTACATCTGAAACGAAAAGATAATAAATTGAAATAGAATATCTACTTATTCCTTAGTTACAAAATCTTGTAGTAATTTTTATTATAAAATTTTCTCTGTGTTTGTATATTAATATTTGTTTGTATTTAATATTATTACAACTTTTTTATATATTTATATTTATAATATAAAACGCTATAAATATATAATAACTAAATATATGTTAATACGCGTATATAAATACATGTAATACATATATACACAGCAAAAAATATACTTGCTTGAAGAATAACTTTATTATTGACATTTTAAAAATAAGATTAATATTAAAATGAGATTATATGGCGTTGAAAGAAGATAAATTAGTTTTCAATCAAAACAAATATAGTCAAATTAACACAATCATTTTCTCATATATAACCGATAATATTAATAAACCGAAATAATAGAAAGCTCCTCGAATAGATTAACTAACAGTAAGATTTGAAAAGGCACATAAGGAGCAAGCACGGATGTCTTAGTGCTATTAAATACTAATATTACTTTTTAATATTAATACGATTGTGGGAGGATAAAATTGTTCAGTATGTTAAACGCACGTATCGAAATTTTTCTTCGATTATTGTACGCGGAGAATCAACCTTCCATACTCAGACCGATCCTTGAGTCCCAATTTTTATATATATATTTTTTTATTAAAGTCCCAAAACCCCATTAAACCGATGACTCAAATAGATTCATTATATATGTTGCGAAAAAACTGCCTTCGCCAGGACGGAATATAATAACATCTCTTACAAGATCGACTCTTTCGTTCTTTCTCTCTCAACTTACATCTTAGAGAATTTATAAACATTGAGTTGCGAGATTACTGTCGAAGCCTCGGTGGCTGAATGGAAAGGCGTCCCGCCCGGAAAGTGAGGAGGTTCCAGGTCCGTGTTTTTGATTCTCCACGTACGATAATCGAAGAAAAATTTCGATACGTGCGTTTAACATACTGGACAATTTTATCTTCCCACAATCACATTAATATTAAAAAATAATATTAGTATTTAATAGCACTAAGACATCCGTGCTTGCTCCTTATGTGCTTTTTCAAATCTTACTGTTAGATAATATTAATATTTTTCTTATATACAAGAAAATCATTGTGTTAATTTGACTATATTTGTCTTGATTGAAGATTAATAATATATATAACCAAGACTATTAATATTATAATATTCTATAAAAAAATGGTTATATTAATTTGATTATATTTGTCTTGATTGAAGACTAATTATCTTCGTTTAACCTTATATAATCTCATTTTAACATTAATATTATTTTTAAAATGTCAACAATAAAGATATTCTCCAAACAAGAATATTTATTTTTCTGTGGACGATTTAAGTAAATGATCATTTGTGGTCATAATCACATATTACTTGACACGAATAAAGTGAGATCAGATCTTATATAATAAAACGTTTTCGATAAGGTGAAGAAATATTACGGAGGAAATACAGCGAAGGCTGACGAAGTTGAAAAGCGATTTATTTAAATATGGATTATCGATGCAATTAAAAGTGTTAACATGCATATATGACAAGGATGAGGAATAAAACGAGAATAGAAGTCGTAATGGTTCGCACATGGATATGAGATAATGAGTTAATGAGAAACAAAGTAAAGATACTTTGGTGAAGGTTACTAATTAGAAAAAACCAGGAAATTTTATACAGCACATTAAATATAATTATTCAACATTATAGACTGATATTAATGCGATAGTTAATTGTTACTCGCTGCGACGTTTCCTTATTCATCTATACTAATTTTTAAAGACGGTGCTATAAAAAAGTAAACGCTGAAACCGTCAAATATTTGGAAGAATGAAATTTCTTAAAATATGTCGACGAATTTAGAAGTAAATATATGAAGATTATATAGTATACAATATTTCATATACAGTAATTTCATATATATGAAAATTATATATAATATGGTTAGATTTTAGGTTAGGTAAGAAGTTTAATACAACTGTATTTATAACATTCACCAAATGAATTGTATGCTGTACCATACGGTTTGGTAAACTTATTTAAGCATTACTATAATGCTACTTAGATAATGCGCTCACCAGATAGTTTTGTATCATTGACTAAATATCTTTAATAACACGATTATTCTGCATACCGTTTGGTAAACATAAATCGAATTCTGGTTAGTATCATCAGATATTTTCCTCAGTGCATGTGTTACATTGTTTAACATCTGTGATTTATGACCACTATATATGTATATAAGGATTATGTTATCCACGTGTATGACCTTTAAGTTTTCAGGGACATTTGCAGTTGCATTTGATTTAATTCACTCACGCGTGAAAGATTTATTCCCGTGAGTGAAATATTGCATGTAACATCTAACACTGTGCAGAATTTTAATTTGAGAGTATATTTTTATAGATTAATTTGTTATTTAAGCTTATCAATATTTATCTCGGATTTGATGCGAAGAATTCTTTCAAATTCATTTCGATATAAGAAATGTGAGAAATTGACAAAAAAGACAAAAAAGACAAAAACTTAATAAATAATATGTAGACTCGCAAAACATTTTATTCAATCTTTTCGATTATAATGTATTTTTTTATTAACTATATGTATGTACATATTTTTTTGAAATATTTTTCCTAATTGTATAATTCAGTAAAAGTGAATTTTTCATTTCATTTCTTTACTGCCACTGTACTTGTATTGAAGTTTATACATATGTGTGTATTTAACATATACATTTGTTTAAAATATTTTAAATAATCTAGTATTATAATTTGCTTTAAATTAATTTTTTATGAAAAATCATATACATATATTTATATATATGTCTATATTTATATGTTTATAATTAAATATAACAAAAGAAACATAATACTTTTTACATCTCTTATTGCTTCTTTTTTTATGTACTATGACGAATGACGGATGTTTATTCACTATTTATAACTGATTAACTGATAGATTCTAGTAGATAGATAGATAACTGATAGATTCTAGTAGATAGATAGTAACTGATTAAAAAATGTATTTTTAGGAGGAATTTGGAAAGTATTTTGATAATGACATTTATTAGTGGGGCTTATTATATACTCTATATAAGAAGAAAAATTATTCTCTCTAATTATTGTTATCTCGTCTCTCTAATGGTATCTTGTAGATTATTTATTTATCTAGTCTTCTATGCTCCTCGAAATATAAAAACTTGTATATGCACATATATAATAATATGCGATTCTATTGTGGAACACACACACACTCGCACACGCACACATACGCGTGCACACAACTCACATTTAAAAAATAAAAAATGTTCATAAAAATATAAAAATTCTGTAATTTAGGTTTTACAAACAAATAATGAAACTATACTTTCAAGTTAATTTCAACGTAGATTTGATTTTAATTGGACTTTATCTCTCTTTCCCTCTTTCATGGATGTTATTTTAATTGCAACGACGATTAAAATTGACATTTATATAAAATTATCCAAGGAGTTAACTCGCTCGAATAAGTTTCTATTCAAATATAAAATAATAAGTTATATAAAACAAATAGAACAATTTTATTTACATATAAGTTTTATGTAACAAAAAAAACCAAATTAAATTTAATAGTTTTAGTATACGTTAGGTGAATCTTATATTTAATAGACACTGAAATCAACTTGCTTAAGTGCAATAAATGTTACTAGTTATGTGGGTATATATTCTTCTCGTGAATGGAGTTCGCTAATAATTGTAAAATATGATTACTTGAAATAAAAGCATTGCAGTGTGAAAAAAATAGATTTATTTGTTATATAAGTATTTGTTATAGTTTGACAGATTGCAACTACGTAGATCAGGCATAAATATGTATTTAGTTGTATTGAACTCACTCTATATTACTAAAGAAAAAAAAGAGATAATTTCTTTATCAATATCATCCTATATTTGTTGATGAAATTGTTTAATTTGCGTTAAGACATCGCAAAACAATCCAATATTTTAAACAATCCAATATTATACTTTGCTTTAATTTTAAAGATTAATTTTTTATGAAAAATCATTTGCGCGACTTTATATCTGTATCCATAAAATCCACAAGTGTCTCGTAAAAACTTTTAACTGTGAGGCATACAATTTTTGTGTAATACAACTTAAACTTCACTTCGCAAGAATACAATTTGCATGGATTACTTGAATTTGAATAAGCGTGAGATTTTTTTGTTGACGTAATATTTTTGCGGTATTTTTTGTAGACTTCTTTTTTCTTTTAATTATAGCAAATTCTTTAAATAAGTCAATATCACAGCGATAAGATGTAATTATCGCGACCTTTATTATTTGGTATTTTGTGAACACATATTAATCCACGCACACAAAATGAACACTCATACACAATTGCATATGCAATAACACACTTTGATGAATTACTTTTAAAGCATAACTTATTGCAAAACGTTGAAGTATGTGATTGTACATACTCGTATAAATCTGTCAATGTTACTTAAATTTGATTTCACTTTTTTCTTTTGTTGATTTCATGTTACTAGAAGACACAATGTAGTTGTTTAACTCGCCAACATGAAGAGAATTTTATAATAAAAATTATTACAGAACTTTTTAATCAAGGAATAGATCGAGGAATAGAAACTGAAAAAAACTTGTATGAAAGAAAGGAATAATATTATAATATTTTCTATGTTAATAACTAATAATTCGATAAACATTTGCGATGATTTTCCGTTCCAACGCCGATGTATAAACATGAACAATATTTTATAATATGATCATAACACTGACTTGCAAATTATTCGTCTTTTGTTCCTCTTGGTAATATAGTACTTTACAAATGCTCTCACTGTGTCCGTTCCTTAGCTAAACTCGACGCGAAATGATACGGCAATTGGATGTATTACGCTTTATATCAATACGTCTATATGTACTCATGTGAAAAGATAGTTGCAGATAGATTATAGGTCTATACCCAGTCTCGTATACAGGTAGTGT